GTCGGTTGAGTGCAAGATGGCAGCGCGCGATATTTTTAATGCTCTTCAATTGCTAGATTTGCTATCTTCTTCATCATCTAGCAGTGATGAAGATGAAATAACAAAAGGAAATCTACAAAAAATTCCAAAAATTGAAAATTTTATTAATGTTGTATATAATCTTATGGATAAGGACGTAAGTCGTGATTATATATTTATTATTTATTAATAATTTAATTGTTGCTGTACAGGTATTGTTTATTGTACTGTATTGGTATTGTATTATGTGAAAAAATATATACATGTGTTGTATATAAGTGCTACAAATAATTATATATTATTGTTACAGTACAAAAGTCATTTTCGTGTTGCAAGAGCAACAGCTTATAAAATAATTGATATTTACGCAATTTCACAATTCTATCCGTCTGATAGAACTCACGGAGGTAATAAATCTACCTCTGCTGAATTGGACATATTATCATTTTTGACACATTATTAATTTATTGAATAAGTCTATTTCACTTGATTAAAGTTTTAATAACAGCATGTCATTATTGACTTTAAAGCAAATGTTTAATTTCTCTGATTGTTCCATCATTTTTCGTAAATCCAGAAATATTGCACTTTTTGGCACTTGACACATGTAGTTTATTGTTTAGCTAGAAGTGCAAGAAACTCGCACTTTCGGCAACGTCGTACAGTGCTGCTGCTACTGAACAAGTTTTCGGTGCGCACTCAGTGCGGCTCAGTGAAAAACGCTATTAGAGCTCATGTCGAATTTATGCACTAACGTGCAAAAACTCGGCACTTCTCACTGAAACAGCGCGCTCCGTCTCCGTGCGCACCGAAACGCCCAGTGAAATACGTTGCCCTCATCTAGTGCGCACCCAGTGCGCACCAGTGCGACCAATGAAAAACGCTATCAGATTCCTGCGTAATGATTTTCTGCGTAGATGCTAAATGCTCGATTCTGCCATGGAGTGGCGCACATAGGAGAGGTTTTGGGGGTTAAAATCCCCCCAATTTTAACTTAATTAATATACCTTGGTTTTTATTAACTTAACAGTAAAAGTAAAAATATCTATAGTTAAATAAAATGTGTTCAACCACGGACTAAGGAATAGAGGGACGGAGCACAAGCTGTACCGGGGGAGCACGTTTGCGGCGGGGGGGGGGGGCCGGCCATATTCGTTTAGTAATCACCACACATAGAACTCACTATTTGCGTATGTGTGAGAAATGAAAGTCAGATCCTGCGCACAATAAACAAAATAGGAAATAGAAATAGGAATAATTATTAAATATTAGAAATAAGAAATTGGAATTATTTATTTTAAAAATAAAAAGAATAGAAAAAATTAATGCATGAATTAAGAAATAAGAATTAGAACTAATTAATATATTTTATTCTCTTGTTAGATGTAAAATAATTTCTCTTTTTAATATTAAATGTTTATTGCTATTTCTAATATTTTGTCTACTGTATGCAGAGCCTCAGAGTAATAAAAGTTAAAGTATTTATTTTATAAAAAATGTCAAAAACAGAAAAATAAAATGTCTACTAAAATGTAAAAACTAAACACATTATAATAAAGTTTCAAAATAAGTTTCAAAATTATAGTACAACAATAATAAAACCGCCTAACTTCTTTACGCTTGTCACTCGTTATATCTAGTGGCACCACTACACGAGTGTAACCATGTCACAGACACAGAATCTCTGTGTGAGAATCGCTACATCAATATGGCGGAAAGCAGTCCCCCCCCCCCGCACGCTTGAATTACCATCCCCTCTCGCCTAGACTTTAGACTCGGTCCCTCTATTCCTTAGTCCGTGACTACGGTACAATTTGGTACAAAACTAGTACAATGCAGTACAATTTCGATTATTTTAATTTTATTAAAGTGTGGGGCTAACTTCATACACATGTATACGTCAGGTATACGTCAGGCCCATGTATATGATGGAAATTATAAAAAAAAAATTTTTTTTAAACACATACATATATACATACATAAAATATTTTAAGCGCGTAAAATGCTTTGATGCCGACTCATTTGATGCGTGCTATTTGTTTTTGTTGCTATTTCGCGCGCACTATCATCTTGTTATCATTCGTACGGAGACATTCGAACAGGCAAGATGCAAAGAAAATTCGTGATTATTGTTGCTCGTATAATAATAATTGTGTTTTCGCAAATGGGTGCCACAAGAAGCATCGACAGACAACTAAGAAGAGGAAGAAACTCCGAAATATCGAGCATTGACGGAACAACTTTTCGATAAGTAATTTATCATTTATTATTTCAAATAAATATTAAGATGTTTAATTTTCGTAATAAAAATTAAGTAAATCCTGAAATATTATTGTTCTTTATTGAAATAATAGATCTGCATGAGAATCGAATAAAAAGAAATCGATTAATAAAG